ACACATGTCGCAATTTCGATTCACGCTGCATGCAATTTAAGGCAATTGGTCTTGATGAATGAATGGCAAACTTAGTGTTAAGGCGCTGAGAATCGGAAGCCCTTTTAAACGGCTCTGCCACCCAGATGTGGGGAACGGAGCAAACTAAGCCAAGAGCGCCGTAAGCACGTCTGCACTTCACTGCCAATCGGTAAGGCCCCGAGACCACTTGCCACGGAGCGAATAGGACAACTTCGCTGTTGGATGAGACTCATCCTCTGGCCAAATTGGGAAATCGGGGGAGGGAGAGGGGAGGGGACGACAGCAGCATAAGAAGTGCCGACACGCACTGTCAGAATCAAAGGTCCCGCGCGGTTGAACAAAACGTAAATTTTTGTAGGCAGAGGGCCTCCTAACGTCCGGTGTAGATGAGGCTGAATGCATCAAATAGCAGACACTGCCTACCTGAGCTACTTCAGAACTCACCGACAGAAAGCGTCGAAAGGTTTCAAGCCCACTCACCAGACGTCGCCCTATCGACAGCAGCCATTAGGGGATAGGCGTGAGGATCGACCTCGGTTATACTGATGGCAACATTGGGACAGTTGTGGAATTCCTCTTGCAGGTAATCTGCAATGCGCGGAGCCGCCATCCGCTCAGGATCGGAGCCACCGATGTCGCGAGCGACCCGTCGACCCTCTTCGATAGCCGAGGCAACCTTTAACAGGCTCTCAGAGGCTCCAAAGACGCCCAGTCTCGTGTACTTAGTCTGTTTGTGAGGAAAAGCCTCACGAATCTCCAGGGGCTGGGTTCGCGCACAACAGAGGTGGGATAATGTCATTAAACTTGTAAAAAAAGTACATAAAAGGATTTAAGTGAACTGTCCTTCCTAATCTTAAAACTAGTTCGCAATGAGGTATGATAGTAGTCCACTGACAACGTACGATCCATGCGCCTTAATGCTGCAAATCAGTTTTAAAACTAGCGTTGCTCTATAGGCACGACTTGTTTGGCCTAGAAAGTGTCCAAAACACAGGGAAGATGAAAGTAGTTGTGGGAAATGTGGAGGGAGCAATGAACTGAGTCTGGAGACCTCACCTGGTAAAGAGCATGAAGTGCTCCGAGGACGGCATTCAACAGGGGAAATTCGCCCTCAGTCCAGGCAGCATCTTCGGGTGCGGAAGCGATGGGACCCAGTACCAGAAGGGGCTGTTTGCAACCGATTGCGACGGCTCTAGGCGAAAGCAAAACAACCTTTGCGAGATTAGCTCAACAAATACGAAATCATGAGTTGAATGCCCATTTTAGCCTATGGATGGTAACCGCGGACACCGAAGGCGGCGGTAAATCCCAATGTGGCAGGACTCACTTCTTCACACCTGCAACTGCCGCATCGTAGATGTTCCTGCTGTCATCGACGTCGCCATCTAGCTTCCCCGTTGGCGAGAATACCTGTAGGGAGGAAAGGAATGTCAGAGTGATACAAATGTTCGGCCCACTTACTGGAAGCGCTGATCTACAAATGCAGCTTCACACAGTAGTGGTGGTGAGGATAAATGACGAGGTATTGATGCATAGTGTTGTAATGGAAATGGGAACCTACCAAGCGTTGGCATAGATGGGTGGGAAAGGCGATGATATTATGAGTTTCGACCATCTTTGGGTTTATCTAATGGGTGAACGGTTGAAAGGTGTAGAGTTACGAGACGACAAAGAAGGAGGCATTGGAATGGGGAGCTCACCCTCTCATAATCGGTAAGGGCATTTTCGATTGACGCGAAGCTGCCCCCGAGTTCATTTATGGCATCATTGATAAATATGACAATATCGAAACTCTCATCCAACACGCTGGACACAGACACGAGTGACATGGTCTGCAGAATGGGCCATGTTGGCGAGGCAAGGGCGAATGGGATAGAAGCCACCAATCCGGGACATGTGGTGGTAGCAGCAACGCCGAGGTTCAGCCAATGAGCAAGGCGCACAAATAAACCAATCCGCATTCAAGGTGTGGCGCTTGCTAAGACGCATCAAATAGTGGAGGCAGAAAACAGATAAAAATGAGACGAACAGCAAACGGTGTCCTACTGAAAGTTGGCTAGTAGAAATTGTTTGACTGCACCCAAAATCACGCATTTCCGACGGAAGCACGCCTAATCCACGTTTTTTTCGCCATAGCCTCACTATCAAATGTAAGGGGGATTACACAGTGAGAAGCCGTTGGATCAGCCTTATAACAGTGGTGCTGTAATTTGCATGGCCAAAGATGTTGCAGTCTTCATGTAAACGCAGTGTGATGGGTCGTTAACGTAGTCGATGAGGATGGGTGTATACATGTTTGAGCAAACTCTACAATGTTGGGACGAAGGCGTGCGAACTGATTGTGGAGAAGGCCTGCAACCCTTCAGAGGAGCCAATCGGGGGCGGGGGGAATCGAGGGGAGCGAAAGGAGCAGTGACAGCTGCATGCGTGGCAAAGCCATCTCATTGATTTTTGATCGATGGTTTGCCAGGCCTGGAAACACTACACGCGCTATCTGTGACTTGTACACACACACGCACACACACACACACACCCAATCGTGGAGGCAAAAGTTACTTAGCCAGACAATCGGTAGAATATTGCCTTCTCTTACATCTCAACGTTCGTCGTCAGGATGCAACAACAAGCCCTCCCAGGTCTCTACTTGTCAAGACGCCAATTCTGTTCACCGCCCCATTTACCATCCCTGTACCTCACTTTAGTCAACCAGGATGATCTTTCATTGGCATTCTCATTCACGTTTTTAGGAGGTTGGAGGGGGGCGGAAGGCGTTTTAGCTAAACTGGTAAGTAATCCGTAAGCGAATTTACATTCCAAATGATAGAAGCTGCTGGTGGGCATTGGGAAGTGCGAGCGCCCACATCAGATTTTCAAAGTCGCTACCGCTAAGATCACGTTCTCTTTGAGACAACACTAGCTCGAGAGTGCAGTGTGCCGTACCGTCTAGTAAGTGCACTTTCTTCCCTGTTTAGCTTTGGGAGGATTAAGATGTTAAGTCATGGGTCATTTCGACACAGCTCATAAGTAGTGGTTTGTTTGTTTTGTTTGTTCGAAAGGGTGTGCACCACTCCCATGTGGTGGTCCGAACGTGCTGATGTGATTCGGATCAGAGAACTTGGCAAGACTTCTCCCTCCAGCCACACTATCCACGCCTCAAGCTTCGGTTCTGCATGCTGAGCAATGTGAAGGGCTGATTGAAAAGGGACTTCTCATAAAGCCTTACCATCCTTGCTGAGAGAGGTCAATTTCGTAATTACGGATTATCACGTCTGATGGATGTACAAGTGTAACTGGTCTCGGTGCTTTCGTATTCACGAGTTAACTAGCGGGCCCACTCCGAGTTGGGCCTCAGTAGAATGCATCATTCATGTCATGATTGTAATGAAAGGGAAAGCGGGTAAATTGTGGAACAAAATGATGATTTGATTTTCGATGCCTTTTTTTCTTCCCCTGCCATTTACGTCAGTGGTTACGCCGATAGCAATGTTGACTGAGAGATGCCTTTTGGAACCCTATGGCAATAAAAGCCCCATTAGTGTGGCTTAAGGGAGAGCAAGGACTTTTGCCTCTTAAAGTGTGGATCAAATCATGAAGGGTCGGTTTCGTCATGGCGTCCTGCCAATGGTGTAAGAAGTTGAGCGGACAAGTGTCCGTTTGCGAAGACGCTGAAGCTTGA